TTCCTTTTTTTGGCAAGATTGGATGATTTTGTCTATTTTGTTTATTCTTTCAAAGAACCAGCTCTTTAATTCATTGCTTCTTTTTATTTTTTTTAGTCTCCATTTATTTCTGTTCTGATCTTTATAATTTCCTTCCTTGTACAAACTCTGGGTTTGAATTGTTCTTGTTTTTCTAAGACTTTGAGATGCATCACTAGGTTATTTGGGCTTGTTCTATTTTTCTGAAATGGGCATTCACTGCTATAAACTTCCCTTATAGGATTGGTTTCACTGTGTCTCATAAATTCTGGTATGTTGTATGGGTGTTATCATTTAATTCTAGGAACTGTCTTATTTCTTCCTTAATTTCCTCTGTGACCCATTGATTATGTATGTGTATTGGTTAATTCCATACATTTGCATAGTTCCTGTGGTTTCTTTTGCTATTGATTTCTAGACTGTACTGGGTAGGAGATAAAAGATACAATGAAAGAAGCTTTAGAGATATTAAGCAGGGGGACTCTAATATTTAGAGAGAAGAGGTTGAGGAGACAGTGGCAGAGGACGTTGAGAAGGACCAGTGAGAAAGAAGAAATAAAAAAGAATAGTCTTTTGAAGTTGAGTGGAGAATTGCTTAAGGAGAGAGTGGGTGTTTCAAATGCTGACAGACATTATAGCTCACCACACTGTGCTCTACCCATTCAGGGGAAATCTATTCCTACAAGACTTCTGAAATTAGGTTGAGAAGCTATTTCTAACATTGCCTTTATTATCAAATGAAGTTTTGCTGCAGGGCACCGGACACAGGCCCATTAGATGGGACACCTGAAGGAGGGTCCAGAGAAGCAACAGAAGTGCTTCACCATAAACAGTTTTGTCACTGGCCCTGCAAATGCCCTCATCAGAAGCCCAGTTGCCCTCCTGGTGTGAGCTTGGTAAGGGATGGCTGTGGTTGCTGCAAAATCTGTGCCAAGCAATCAGGGGACATCTGCAATGAAGCCGACCTCTGCGACCCACACAAAGGGCTGTATTGTGACTACTCGGCAGACAGGCCTAGGTACGAAACCGGCATGTGTGCATGTAAGTGCCCTTTTCTGAACTCTGGAAAAGGCTGAGTCTAGGCCACCCCCCTGCCCCATGTGCCCAATTCCTAATTTGGTATAATGAGCTGTTTGGTTAACTAAATACACAGTAGGTTTAGTTTTTGTAGTCATGGGACAGGCTCCATTGTATTGGACACCAGGTGAAATGAGCTGATACACATGTTCAGAAGCTTCTTATTTACATTGCATTGAAGTGATCTTTCAGGTCTTTTCTGATAATTGTTTTTAATGACAAAAAATAAAGAGGAATTAAGAGTCTGACTTCAAGTGCCACAAAATGACAGTTTTTATTATTATTGCAAAAAAAAAAAAATCTGGATTCCGCCCTTTCTCTAAACAAAAACTAATCTTGTAAAAAAATATAAGGGTATAGAAAAATAAAGATGTATATCTAGTAGTCAAACATAGTATTTTAATCTCAGCCTTTCTAACTAGCCATCAAGTTCCTGTACTTTCTATTGTAGTAGACTTGTAAGAAAGAACTAGATGTCACCCCTAAACTACAATCTGACCCTTAGCTGTATGGACCTAAACTCTGATATCTAATTTAGGCCATCTATACCCACAACACATTGGCAATAATTCAGAGCACCAAATTATTTTGAATAAAAATAAAATTTAAGTGACAGAAATACTCATATCACTGGGTAATTTAGTCATCCTGTAGGAAAGAAAGTGGGAAAATGATTTACTACCAGACACTTGGTTGTGAGCACAGAATGAGAGTGTCTTTGGATTTGGAATGAACTGTATAGAGCCATTCGAGTTTGACATCCATTTTTTGGGGGGGGGAGGGGTTACCGGGGATCAAACTTGGGACCTTGCACTTTTGAGGCAGGTGCTGGAACCACTGAGCTCATTCCCCAACCCGAAAGTTTGATATCCTGATGCTCCATCAGTACCACAATGTATTAGTTAAGAATGCAGGATCTGGATTCAAATCCTGGTTGCTCTAACAACAACCTTCAATAAGCCGCTTCATCTCTCTGAGCCTCAGTTATATCATATGTACTTCCTGTCTTACAGAGGTGGCTGAGAAGATGAAATGAAATGACATAAAACTTAAGAACAGTTAAACCAATATCTGGTATGCAGTAGGGTCTCAAAAAACATAATATTTATGAAAATTTTTTTGTGGTACCTGGTTTTGAACCCAGGTCCTTTGCCCTCAGCGACACTCTCATTCCTTTTTTTTTTTTTTAAGTTTTAAGATAAGTTCTCACTAAATCACTAAGTTGCCCAGGCTGGGCTCAAACTACCATGTCATATGGCTTTATTTGTACAAATTCTATGGGGGAAAATATGATGTATCAAAGACTCTGGCATTCAGGATACCTCTTTCTCCAAACTGGGCAGGTTATTTTGTGACTAACAAACATTAGTGAGACTCCATTATTGAGACAGGTACTGTAATCATTATTATTAATTTGGGGAGGGGGAGATGGGGGAAGGGGAGAAAAGAAAAAAGAGAAAAGGCCCTCCTCTCATAGAGTCAAAGTTTATTGTGTCAGATATTTCTACAAGTAATTTCACGTAAAATGTGATAAGATTTTTAGTCATACCCATGAGAATGGGGATGGGGATAATCTACAACTGGGCTCACAAATTACTGCCTAGGAGCCAAATCTAGTTACAATTTGTTTTTGTAAATAACATTTTGTTGGAACACTGCTGATTCATTTACATAGTCTACCGGTGCTTTACAATGGCAAAATAGCACAGAGAGTATATGGGCTGTCGAAGCTAAGATATTTACTGTTTGGCCCTGTACAGAACATTTGCTGGTATCTGATCTGTTTAAAAAAATATATAAGGACGTAGAAAAATGTTTTGCAGTCTTAGTAATTAACGAGGACCCAAATAACTTTCATTTATTGGGGTTTTATCTGTTGATAATTAATAGATTAGAAATTTAAAGATATTTAATAATTCATTTAAACATAACAAACCTGGTACAAATAGAAGTACCATACTTTTATGAAAATATTTATTTTCTATAACAAAGAAAAACTTAGTGAGGAAAGCGGCATACTTTTGTATTTTTGCAAATATCTCTAATGCAGAAGTCAACAGAAGATAGCTAGATTTTCACATCTGCTTTCAAGGTTTTGCTATATGTTTTATTGGCCAAAATATGTAAGGAAAATCACAGATAATTGATTGGAAAAGGAAGGAATATTTTAATAAGCTTCCCAGATAATTAAGAACATGCTTTTTGATATTACAATGTGTTGAGTGGTAGATGGTTCCTTAAAACTAACTGCATCCTGGAATCTGAAAACACATCAATAAACCTTCACCTCTGTTATGTTACAATATCTAACTTGTATATTGGAGTTCATCTTTTACTCATGCATAATTTTGTCATTCTAGGCATTGGTCACTGAAAATTACTGCTTACTGTACCATCAAGATGTTCAAACTATACCTCATTAAATAATATTTTATAAATCTCATTAATATCACTCTCATCAGAAGAGTCTACATATTAGGTAACTATAAAAAGCTCAGTGGTGAATACCAGTTTTCTAAAATTCTATCACAGGCAACAAATACTGTTCCTTGAAGTGATAGGCTCATTTTATTCATTTTCAAGAAAATGTCTCCAAAATCCCAATGGCCGAATAACCATAGTTTATCTGTCAGTTATTTCTTCAAGTAAAATTCCCTCTGAACATTGGCTAATTCAGCCCACAACTGAGCAAAGCGTAGGTACTTTTCCTTCAGAGCCATTATATTGGGTATACAGAATGTTCTATGTATGCTTCCTATTTTGTCATACAGAATTCAATAAAATTAGTAATTTTATTATGCTCTCAAGGACATTCTTAGGTAAAAATAGCTTTTCCCCCTTTTCCTGTAAGTACAAGTGAATGTCAAGAAAGAATAAAGCAGCTACATGTAGTTTGATTCATGCTAAGGCACCTGAACTTTTAGCCATCACTGTTTCGTAACACCAATGCAAATATCAACAGTGAAAAAAGTCTGTCACATCTTACTATATTGAAGAGTGCTGACCTTGGAGATTTCCTGAAAACATCTCAGCTATTGCCAAGAGGTTGGCGGAACATACTTGGAGAACTACGATCCAGGTCAAGAATACCCCTCACAGAAAGTGAAAGTCATTTCCAATTTTTAGTTACCTTGGGAAACTG